AATTTCCAGGGGGATAAAGGTTTAATGGTGATATGATTTGGATCTGTGTCCCTGCCCAAGTCTCATGTTGAAATATAATCCCCAATGCTGGAGGTGGGGCCTGGTGGGAGTTGACTGGATCATGGGGGCAGTTTCCCATGGTTTAATTCATCTCCCTTTGTGCTGTTGTCGTGATAGTTCTCATGAAATATCGTTATTTAAAAGTGTGTGGCACCTGACCTCCTCTTCCTCCTGCTCTGGCCACGTAAGATGTACCTGCTTAGCCTTCCTCCATGATTGAAAGTTTCGTTCAGAAGCCAAGCACATGCTGCCAAGCTTCCTGCACTGCCGAATTGTAAGCCAATTAACCTCTTTTCTTATAAATTACTCAGGTATTTCTTTTTTCTTTTCTTTTTCTTTTGAGACAAAGTCTCGTTCTGTTGTCCAGGCTGGAATGCCGTGGTGCAATCTTGGCTCACTGCAACCTCCGCCTCCCAGGTTCAAGTGTTTCTCCTGCCTCAGCCTCCTGAGTAGCTGGGACTACAGGCATGCACCACCACGCCCAGCTAATTTTTGTAATTTTAGTAGAGACAAGGTTTCCCATGTTGGCCAGGCTGGTCTTGAATGACTGGACTCCTGATGTGCCTGCCTCGACCTCCCAAAGTGCTAGGATTACAGGCGTCAGCCACCATGCCCAGCCACTCAGGTATTGCTTTACAGCAACGTGAGAATGAACTAATACACATGTTCAGCAAATACAGCATTCAAATTTCCTCAGTAGAAATACCCCTGTAGTTATGATGGCTGTCATGGGCCATCTTGGCTTGGTGAACAAGCCATTTATATTATTCAACTCAGTCACTCTTTCTCAAAGCCAGGCTCAACAAAATATGCTATAAATGTTATTTTGCTCCCTTGGTACCTTTCAGTGAATGCAAACATTTCATTCAATTTGCTTACAAGCATATTCTAATGAATTAGGTTAACATGTGCAGTGGACATGCTAATTGAATTGCCTGTCTTTTGCTAAGTAGGCATTGGGGCATCATTAGGTAGCAATACCTAGGCAAGTGTCCATGTCAGGTCTAACCGTAATCATGTGCCCACACTTTTTTTTTTCTTTTTGAGATTGTATCTCACTCTGTCACCCAGGCTGGAGTGCAGTGGCATAATCTTGGCTCACTGCAACCTCTGCTTCCCAGGTACAAGCGATTCTCATGCCTTAGCCTCCCGAGTAGCTGGCATTACAGGCACATGCCACCAAACCAGGCTAATTTTATTTTTAGTAGAGATGGGGTTTTACCATGTTGGCCAGGCTGGTCTCGAACTCCTGACCTCAAGTGATCCGCCCACCCTGGCCTCCCAAATTTCTGGGATTACAGGTGTGAGCCACCATGCCCGGCCCAATGACTGAATTTGTTACAAACAGCTAAGCACTATTTCATTCCCTTTCACTGGAAGAATGTGGAAAAGAAAGGAAACTTCTATTCGAAGGGACGTACATGCAAGAAATACAGCTACTTTGGTGATGAATGCCTTGATGGGGGACATAATCACCGGGAAAAATGAGACATGCTTACCTGCCCACTGCTCCAGTTGCTCCCATCACCAGAGCACTCAACAGTTGCTAATCAGAAACAAAGAATATTTGCTTTTGTAAAAAAAAGAATGAGAAGAGATGCTACTATATAAATAGCTACACAAATTGTTTTGGAGGGAACTGACCTACTGCAACGTGCTAGGGGGTGACTTACCTCATCCACTCCAAAAAGGAAAGCAAATTGTTGCTGGCGATTCTGATCAACACATTGGCCGAAGTCTAAGAGATCTGTATCACTGAATTTCAGCCCTTGGAAGGTAGGGATCTTATCTTGAATCCCGTCCAACAACTCCTCAGCACGAACTGTTCAAAACAATAAGTGCCTCATTAATCTGCATCTCTAGGAAATAACATCTCGTACAGTGTCACACATCTGCAGTGAGCTGCCACATGCTGCTGTCAGCCAGAACTGACTGCAGACTGGGCATAATCACTTGTGCCTGACTAGCAGCTCCTATGTACTTGTCCAATTATAATCCTAAACTTTCCATTCCTTGTGAAGTGTAAATATCTATTTGGTCTTAGTCCCTGGTTCCTGAGACAAAGTACCTAAAACCCTTATAGACAGGGATGCTAGGAGAATATTTATTCTAACATTTGGTCTTCAACCCTGATTCCTGACACTCTCAAGACCTTTGTAATTTCCTGAGTGATAGAAGCATCTGACACAGAGCTCTTAAATCCCTTGGAATCTACAAAATGATATGTATATTTCTGTACCCTATGAAGTTGACTGATGGCTGGATCTCCTAGATAGCCTCAAGATGAGGGCTGGTAGCCAGGGAAACCAACCATGTGCTTAGAGGGTTGGAACTTTCAGTCACACCCTTGGTCTCTGGGGAGGAGAGGGGAACTAAAGATTGAGTTGATCAACGATGGCCAGTGATGTACTCAATAATGCCTACATAATGAAGCCTCCATCAAACCCCAAAAGAACAGGGCTTCTGGGTTGCTGAACACATGAAGGTGCCTGGCAGATGGCTTGTTCGGAGAGGGCACGAAATCTCCACGCCCCTTCTCACGTATCTTACCCTATGCATCTCTTCCTCTGGTTGTTTATCTGTATCCTTTGTAATAAATGGGCAATAGTTAGTAAAGTGCTTCTCTGAGTTCTGTGACCTACTGCAGCACATTAATTGAACCCAAAGAGGAGGTCAGTGGAACCCTGATTTATAGCTGGTCAGAAGTACAGGCCACAGCCTGGGACTTGAGACTGGCATTGAAGTGGGGGCAGTCCTGTGGGACTAAGCCCTTAACCTCTGGGATCCAATGCCAACTCCAGAAGACAGTGTCAGAACTGAATCCAATTAGAGGACACCCAGTTAGTCTCTGATGAAGAACTGGTTGTTGGGGGGAGAAATGCCCACACACATTTTGGTGGCCAGAGGTAAGATGTTTTGCGTTGAGTGGTAAGCATGAGAGTAGAGAATAGGAAAAGCAGGGGATTTTTTTTCCTCAGAGTGTTTATAAAGTACAGTTGAGTGGTAAGTATGAGAGTAGAGAATAGAAAAGCAGTTTTCCTCAGAATGTTTATAAAGTACAGCCTCTATTTTTCCTCTTATGGAATTTAAAAAAGAGTAGGATTTTAAAATTAATCTAAGACTTCATCTAATTGTAAAACTCTTCTCTCTGAAGAAATACAGTAATAATAAAAGAAAAGCTAGAAGAGAAGTCAAAAGAGATCAGAGGACTTTCGTGTGTGCTACAGGCACTAAGAATACAACAGGTTCAAAGCAGACACACTCCTGTCCTAGTGAGGGATACAGACTCATGTCTTCTCAATAAGAAGAAGGGGTGTATGTGATAGAGACAAAAGGCATATGCTACAAGTGTCCAGAGATCAAATTTCCTTTCATACCTAATAACTTCCATTATACGGCAGTGTGAATGATTGATAAGGCGTGGGTCTTTAGAGTGAAATTTAGGAACAATTGGAGCTGCCCAGTTAATGGTGGTGGGCTTTTGCGGCGTGGGTTAGGGTGGGATGGAGTGGTTTCTTAGCATAATAGGGTAAGATGTGAGAGTTGGGAGGAAAGAAATATCAAAAGAAGCAGTACTTACTCTTTACTCCTGTCAAGGCAGGAATGTGATAGTAATAAAATGGCAGAGCAGGGGCAGCAGCAGCCACTTCCTTTAGGAAATTAATCAGGACATCTGAAAGAACAGCAGGAACAGTCATGGTGTGAACAGGTGTAAAACAGTGGCTTTCCTTGGTTAAAAAAAAAAAAGAATCACCTGATGAAACAACCACGTTTCTCAGAAGCCTCAAATTCTCAACCACTCTTACCATCCCTGCTATTGCAATGTTTTTGCAACTCACTTCCTTCAAAGTTTTATTTTCCTTTCTGTAGAAAGCCCAAAACAAGATGGTTATTCTCCTACCATACTAAACTCTATTAAAAAAAAATTGATGAAAACCTTCCCACATATTAAGAGATGATCATGAAATACATTTATAAAAATAGAAGTCCATCACATAAGACTCTTGTCTTCTTACTCCAAAAAGGCTAAGTGTGGACAGTAAACAACAGAGACTACTATAGAAAATAGATCAGAATAATAAGGTTGTAATTAAGAAAGTTCTGTAACAAAAAGATAAACAATATCTGCTTCAAGATATAAGTTATAGGAGTAGGGGCACATTTCACAAGATTTCCAGCAAAATTTGGTACTTTTCCCTTTGGGGAGAAATCCAGACACCCTGGTTTGCTGAGGAAGTGGGGTTTCCTATATCACCTCATGGGAGCTTCGCTTGTAGCACTACTGCAGATGATAGGTCTAGCGGCACTCCTCATGTTTTAGATGCCACTAGGAAATGGGAGAATTTTATGTACACCATCTGAATACTGTTATGATGTGTATTCAGTCTAGGATAATATTTCTGACAAATTATTATGCATAGATTCATTGTTTTTCCTTTTAGGAAAAATATTCATTTAAAAATTTATAAAGCCATGTGAAAAAGTTTTTAAATGTTGGGCTGGACACAGTGGCTCATGCCTGTAATCCCAGCACTTTGGGAGGCTGAGGCAGGAGGATCAGCTGAGACCAAGAATTCAAGCTCTTCCTGTGAAAGATCATACCAACATCTCATCCCTACAAAAAAATTTAAAAAAAAAATTAGCTGGGCATGGTGGCACAGGCCTGTAAGTCCCAGCTACTTGGGAGGCCAAGGGAGGAGGGTTGCTTGAGCCCAGTAGTTCAAGGCTGCAGAGAGCTATGATCATGCCACTATACTCCAGCCTGGGTGACAAAGCAAGACCCCCATCTCTAAAAAACAAATAATTAAAAAAAATTTAAACTTTTAAAATGTTCATTTTAAACTCCCTATTTATAAATATTAAATTACTTATCTACATGAGCTATTTTCTATGCCACAATAATAGGTGATATTTCCTGATGATTTAGAGCCATTATACATTTAATTATGGATTTACTGCATCGTGTAGGCAAATAATGTCTGTTTTTATCCTTCTAAAATTTATATTTCCTAAAATTTATATTTCTTTTTTGGCTAATCAAAAAGGATTAAAAATACTTAGTATAATTAGATACCATAAATAGTTTCCACAGAGAAAGCAGTGGAGAAAGAGAAAGCAATACTTCGGTATTTCGGAAGACAATGAATATTTCTGTGAAATCTCTTAGAATTCATTTACTCAACCTTGAACAGGATATGTAGTCTCAAAATGCCCATCACTTATATTCTTCTAAGTAAAATGGTCCCATGCTTTGCCATGTGACTGACACCCTATGTAACTCACTGGTCCAGGAGCAGACATTTGACCCAAACATAGGCATCTACAAATCAACCAGGGGTCAGTGGATAACGCAATCAGATTACTGGGCAAAAGAACTGAAGTACTTTAAGGCAGTCTCTTTTATGATCCAGGGAGAGCAAATATTTCAGAGTACCACTGTAGCACTGCAACTTCAAGCCTCCAATCTACAGTACTTTACTTTCACAAATTAAATATAACCATTTTGAATGGAGGCAAGAAGAAGTGGACCATGTGAGGTGCCATGCATTCAGACCTATCCACTTACCTTTGGACCATGGCTTGAGGAAGAACGGTGCAATGACAGCAATGCCATCGGCTCCTATTTCTGCTGCATGTTGGGCCTTTAAAGGAAAAACAACGACCATATTGGAACAAGTGATTTATTATAGTTACCTACAGCTTAGATAGTAAGGTCTGTAACAAGCTCTTCAAATTTGCCTAATGATGCACCACTGGAGAGTGGGGAAATTAGCCAAATTTAATGAACGTCATTGCCAGGAAAATCCCAGGTTGCAAAGTAAAGCTCCTTGATGAAGGTGAGCTATGCACTTAATCTTATACTTCTTCATATTTTGGCAGTACAAAAAACCTTGCTCAGGAGACATAAATGGTTCATTTTGATGAGTTGTAACTGTTAATTGAGATATCTGCTGATGTAATTTCTCTTCTGTTCAGTCCATTGATGATACTATCTTTGCTGTAAATGACATGACAGTTGTATTTTACAATCTGTATTACAGATTGGGAATGCAGTTGAGACAGGCTGAAAATGAAAAGCTGATACACATCACAGAAGATACTTTACACCATGTTTCTGATATTTTCTCAGATTCCTCCAGAAAAAAGTACCCTTGCTGGGCACTTGTAACACATTTTATCTATTTCAAATAAAGTACCTAAACCTACCCGGTGGTAAGGCAGTTGTGTATGGTGACTGTCCTCCAACCAGAGTCTAAGTCCCTCAGGACAGGGCTCAGATCTTGCTCACCCTTGAGTCCAGGTCAATCATGGTACTGGGCACATAGCAAGGAACCAGCAGATGCTTGTTGATTGTTTCAAAATATGCCCCACTATCTAAAAAGGGACAAGGGCTTCCTTCTGAGACTTTGACTTATACTATCTATATCTAATAGACATGATTATCTTTCGCAGAAGTAAACTAGCACAGTTAAAAGGAGAAGACTGGGATATACTCCAGTGAAGGCACTGGGATTAATTTCATTAACACAGGATCAGAATGTGATATATTTAAATCATTTGCTTCGTACTCTGTTTAGAAAAAGAGTAGAAAAGTAACCTTAGCTGAAATCAAGGAAAGAGGAAACACCTAAGAGAGTCGATGGCAGTGTCCATTTGAGCATCATCCAATAAAGAGTTACGGCTAAGCAGATGCTAATGTTATTGTCTCTTTGACAAGACTACCCCCATACCAGGAGATTATCCCTATACCAAAGAATTATTCATTCCAAGTTTACCTCTATACCATTCTGGTGTTCAGCCCAATAGATGATACTGTCATTCATATCATTACATGATAATATTTTAAAATTTATATTATGCATTGGAAAAGAAACAATTGAAAAGAGAGAAAAAAGAAAAATATACCTTATACCATACTGCCTTAGTTGAAAAACCTTTTGTAAGAATAGCAAATCAAATGTAAGAATAATAAATCAAGTCTCTAAATTCTCATTCCACATTTATTAAGGCTAATGATAGATCTTCCTTTGCAGCTTGCCTAAAGCACTAAATTGCAATTTTTTTGGCAAATATATATTATACATCCCATTTCTAAATCCAAATAATAGCCAAAACAAACCAAACCCATTAAGAAGAAGCTGGGCCAGAAAAAGTCATTATAACCTTTGGAGTTAAAATATCTAGGTTCTGAAAACATGGTTAATTTGTAGTAGTCCAGGCACAGGGTCTTCTGATGAACAACTTTAAATATCTTTATTCTTTCTTTTCTTAACCAATTCACCCAGGCCTCAGAATCACCACACCACTTGCTTTTCTGCCACCTAACCTGCTAATCCCTAAACCTGGAGCAATCCAATTGTCTGTATTCTTCTTCCTATGTTCTGTGTACCAGGAAAAAAATTCCATAACTGTGATGAAGGATGGTATGACAAATTTATGACTTACAACTTAAGTTAGTTTTCAGCATCACTGAGCAATCCCTTTTGTGTTTTAGCTCCCTCTCCCTTTCTCCAATGCAGAATTCACATTTGCCATTCTTCAAGCCTTTATCAATTTGCCCCTCAGTGCCCTGCAGATGGCACTGCCTTCTACTTCCCAGAGAAAACGGAAATTGGCTCAAGTTCTGCTCCTTACCTACAAACTCAGCTACAGCTGCATCCATCCTTACTCTTCTTGGAGGAAGGTGCCTCCATGTCCTATCCTACAGTCATCATCTGGAGCTACAACCCTTTCTTTGTGGCTCAGTGCCTGCTTCTGCAGTGAGCCCCTGAGATCCTACACCTTATCTTTTCAGGCACAGCATCCACCACATAGCAAATATTGTATTGATTTTAACTGCAGCACAAAAATGGATGCCCCTTGAGTGGTCTCTCCCGGATGGAGCTGCATACATACCAGCTCTTGTGACTCCTTCAAGCTCAGTGCTCCTACGTGAATTACCACCTGATCCAGCCTGCAAAAGAGAAAACACTGCTGCATCGCGTAGAGTTTAGAGGAATGCAGAAGGGCTGCACTATCCTGGTTTGCACTGGTTTTAGCAGTTAACTGATGCCTTCTTAGTCTCACTTATTAAGTTCTATAGCAACATATTTAAAATTAATCTACCTAAAGAGGCTTATGGTGATCTTTTTAACATAGATCATTAATATCAAAGTCTAGTCATGTTACTGAGAGGTTGGTTGTGATTTGACCGTGCCTAGGATGATTTTGATATCACAGCAGAATAGAGTCAACCTCAAAGGAGGTAATTAAAGGCAAGATTAAAATGGTATTCCATTTCTTCCTTTCTGTAGGAATACAGCCATTCCTGCAATGACTTCATTCAGAGCCAGTGGGAAGGTGGTACGTTTATACAGTATCATGGAGGTTTCATGTTGCCAACAGCAGAAGTATATGCTGAAAACCATTAAACATGTACAGACATGGGATTCATCTCTCATTAAGTTAGAGACAGAGGATCACAGAGATAATTTAGCCCATTATCTTAAAGGTAAGTAAATTGGAGTCTGTAGAAATTAGTTTTATATCCATGCTTACAGAAAAAAAAAACTTCTAAGTTGTGATAAAAGACACAAAACTTAAAAATCAATTCTAGGTTGGGTATGCAGTGGCTCATACCTATAATCCCAGCACTTTTAGAGGCCAACTTGAGCAGACTGCATGAGCTCAGGAGTTCAAGACCAGCGTGACCAACATGGAGAAACCCCATCTCTACTAAAAATAAAAAAAAGTAGCCGGGCATGGTGGCACGTGCTTATAATCCCAGCTACTCAGGAGGATGAGGCAGGAGAATTGCTTGAATCTGGGAGGCAGAGGTTGCAGTTTGCTGAGATCGTGCCACTGTACTCCAGCCAGGGCAACAAGAGCAAAACTACATCTCAAAAAATAAATAAATAAATAAATGAAAACAAACAAACAAATTCTAATGGAAATAAAGGATCTAGTTTAATCATGTTAGAGTCAATAATTTACGTGTCAGGTGTCAGGTATTACATATGATTTTTGTAAATAAATGATATTGCATATATTTATATAACAGTGCTGGTACTGGCTAATATTTGTTGACTTAGAATGTAAATTGAAAAAAAAAATCAAGATGCCAACGGTGAATCAAGCACTAGGGAAGAAATCTAGTTGGGAGGTGGTACAACATAACTGTTAAGAACTTATATCCTGGGTGCAGTGGCTCACAGTAAATGCTTAATAAATATTACCAGTTATTACTGTTAAGCCTTAAGAATAGAGCCTTAAAGAAAAAAAATGGGACAACAAAAAAGAAAAAAAAAGAATAGAGTCTTTGATGCTGTAAAAAATATAGAAAACAGTAAAGATAAGGAATCATTAGGGATTTAAAAAAATGTCTAGGGAATGGAATTTAAGGTTCAGTTAAGCAGAATTTGAAAAACAATAACTGATTAATCAATACATGAGTACTTAATCTGGTTAAGCATGGTTTTAGATGCTGTATTTGGTGGTGTCATGTGCATGAAGATGGGTATGATACTGAGATATTTTTGGTTGGAGATAAAAATTGTTTCCTCAAAGAGTCCAACCAGGAACTAGTCCTGTGGGCAGTGAATTCACTTTAAAAAGCAACGTCCTATCTTGCAAATCTCCTCAGAATCTGGCCAAAAGAGGATAGTTGCTCTCATACCCCAATGGTCATTTTTGGGGGTACTCCATGTTCCATCTGGGGAGAGGCTACAGTGAGACTGGTCTTCTAAAAGTGGAATTAATAATGTTCAGCCATGAATGCAGTCATCCCAGTGAGTCTTCTGAAGGACACTGAATAACACATACCGTCATGAGACAGAGACACAACATTCCTGTTTAGGCCCAATCACGGAGTCCTCCAGGGGTTCCTGCTAGCTCTGTCTTAGGTAAAACAGGACCTAGCTGGGAAGTGACACGATCAGGTTTGTATTTTTAAAGAATAGAAGACTTCTGAATGGAAAAAGGAGGGCTGACTGACCTGTTGGACTCTCACCAGCAGTTTTATTGCATGACCCTTTCCTTCACTACCCCTTTCTTTTGCCTTAGGTGAAGCCAATCATCCATTTGCTCTTCCCCTTTCTCCTGGGCTGCTAGATACAGCTACCACTGTTAGAAATTTAAAATACACATTTCCTAGTAATCTCCCAATCCAGGAGAGGGCTCCAACGAGCCTTCTGGCTGTTATGACTCATTTCCCTGGAGTGGCTACTCCAAATCTTGACTATTCCTGTCAAGCTCTAAATTCTTACCAATTACTTGTTCTGGGCAGATGTCTGAGTCCCAGAGACCAAAGATGAAGCAGCTTTCAAACACAGACTCCCTTACCCTTCCTCCTCTCCACCTGTGTGTGGGGCTACATCACCGTTTGCTTTCCTCCTAGCTTCTCAGCTGTTTTTTTTTTTTTTTTTTTNTTTTTTGAGACGGAGTTTTGTTCTGTCGCCCAGGCTGGAGTGCAGTGGAGTGATCTTGGCTCACTGCAACCTCTGTCTTCCAGGTTCAAGCAATTCTCCTGCCTCAGCCTCCTGATTAGCTGGGATTACAGGTGCTTGCCACCATGCCCAGCTAATTTTTGTATTTTAGTTGAGGCAGGGTTTCTCCATGCTGGCCAGGCTTGGTGTTGAACTCGTGATCTGCCTGCCTCAGCCTCCCAAAGTGCTGGGATTATAGGTGTGAGCCACTGTGCCCAGCTGGTGTTATATCTTTAAAACCCAATATAAATTTTGAGTTGAATCAATTTCTGATCAATTCATCAGGATGTAATCCTATCATCAGTGGAGAAACATCTGTATTTCAAACTCCTAGCCAACCCCCCATCCAAGAACTTTCATCAGAGTTATCAATTCACCACTTTTTTTTTTTTCTTTTTTTTAAGACAGGGTCTTGCTCTGTCACCCAGGCTGGGGTGTAGTGGTGTGATTTTGGCTGACTGCAACCTCTATCCCCCCAGGCTGAAGTGATCCTCCTGTCTCAGCTTCCCAAGTGGCTGGGACCACAGGGGCATACCACTATGCCTGGCTAATTTTTTTTTTTTTTTTTGTAGAAATGGGGTCTTCATATGTTGCCTAGGCTGGTCCTGATCTCCTGGGCTCAAGCAATCTACCTGCCTAGGCCTCCCAAAGTGCTGGGATGTCAGGTGTGAACCACTGTACCCTGCCAAGGTTTACTGGTCTTTTATGTATCTTTAATCTCGTCTCCCCTGGCAGTTTTTCAGCATAGAAACATGCTCAACATTTTTCCACTTAACGAAACTGTCCTCCTTTCAAACTTGCCTATTCCTTCCTAATCTACTACTCCATCTCTCCTCTCCTTCCCTTTGCCAGAAATCTCTCTGTGAGGATCAGCTGCACTTACTGCCCACACATGCAGATGTCTACTGCATGCTATAGCTCACTGCAGTCTGGCTCCTCTACAATAACCTGACTGGCCCCACTCTCAGAGGTCATCAGTGACTTTCTGTGATATGTCAAACCTAGTGGTTTTCTCAGTCTTTCATATGCTGACTTTCATGGCATCTAATAGTTATTATAACAAATGTTATAATGAACACAGCACCTACTGCATCTACTGCAAATAGTTACAATGAATTCTTACGTTAGTGTGAATGTGTTACGTGAATGATGCTTGCTAGGCACTGTTCTAATCCTCACTACAACCTCCTCAGTGAGGTACTATTATTATTTCTACTTTAGGAGTGAGGCACATAGAAGTTGGGTGATGTGCCTGAGTCCCCAAAGCTAATAAAAAGCAGAGCTGGGCCTCAAACAGACAGTGGGGCTCTATGGCCCCTGCTACACTGGCGCTCTCTGAAATCATTCTCCTCCCTGGCTGCAGTGACCAGACCCACTCCCAACCACCCTCCTACCCCCGAGGGCTTTCTGTCTCTGCCTACTTCCCTGTCCCTCATTTTTGGTACTGTTCTTAATGTGTACCCTTAGCCTTCCTGTTTTCACACTCTGCCCATGGTCCTTAATCTTTTTGGACCCTAGATGCCACAAAATTAACTGAAAGCTGATGGTTCACCAGAAAATGCTTCCATGAATATGCACTCAAACTTGGCACGTAATTTCAGAGTACTGGAGGTGCCCTGAAGCCATGAAGGCTTCCCAAGGACATCATGGGCTTCACACTGACAACCTCTGCTCACTTACCTCTGGTCTTTTACCTCCACCTAAGGCAACATTGATTATTCCCTTCTTGTTTATGCATTCATCAGAAGGGCTGGGGTGTTACTTTTCATGATCTAATATCCTTACCGGATGGTCGGCAACCTGAAGGCAGAGCTCCTACTTTATATTGCCGGTGCCTAGCACGGTACATGACATATAACAACGTAACAGACAATCAATAAAACTTAGTTAACTGGCAGTGCTTATGGAACTGATACTATCCTGTTTGTTCAACCATAGTATGAATTGGGTGTTACAAAATATATCACTGCATGGAAGTTTAGGAGCTACAGAAAGTCCTCAAACAGCGCAAGAGGAAGCACCATAAAAGAGCACGTTGAGTTGGATACACAGAGACCTATAAGGAGAAATGGGCCAATACAAGCATCAGGTGCTCATCCCAAGAAGGGAAGGGGTGTGAGTTGCTCAGTGGAAGGGCCAGGTGACCAGCAGAGTCCGTCACCACCCTCCCGTCTTATCCTTCAGCCCAAGGATGGGTAACTGTGAGGGGATTGGCCTTGGAGACAGATAAGAGGCAGTTTCTCAATGGAGCCTCTGGGAGGCAGGTGTGCCTAGCAGTTTGGCTATCCTGCACAGAAAGGGAGGGGGCTCTTCTCCAAGGAGCCAGGATTCCTGGGGCCCTGCTCATCTTCCCACCAGCTGACCTTGAGCCCAGGCTCTGACCAGAAAGCAGGGAGGCTGTATCCTCTGGGGAAGAGGCTCACTGAATACAGCTGTTGCCAAAAAGCATTTTTATCCTGGGCAACCACTCACTTGTCCTTCCCTTTTGTCACCCACTCCTCTGCAACCTGGCGACGCTCTGAGACGCTCAGGGACAGGCCTTCTCCTGTTGTGCCATTCACTGTTCCAAATGAAGAGTAAGTCAGTGAGACCAAGGCATACCTCTGCTCCTCCCACCCTGAGTCTGAAAAGCACACGGTCAGAAATTTCTGCACTGAGGATGGTCAGGAGGGGAAAATGCCACATTTCCATTTTCACTTCAAACTCCATCTTTTTCCCACCTTCACCTTGTCAAAAGCAGTGGGAAGGTTAACTGTGACTCGTAATTATAAATCTGACCTTGATATCAGGGAAAGACAGAAAATATTTTAAATGAAGACAGAGATGACTGCCGACATTTTACATCAATCTGCAGACACACCACCCAGTTTTATATCTGGGCTTGAATGGCAGGAAAATCAACACCATCCAGTACCATCATGTCAAATAAGTGGGAGTTACACACGTGGGTGCTTTTGTGTGCTACAGATCTCAGACTATCTCCATTTACAGTTTGACATGATGGTAGTGCTCTAGGACAACTCACTTTTTAAATATTTCATAAATAAGCACAAAGGATGTTAATATTTCTTACACCAAGTGTTCTTACGTATTCACTTACTCTCACAACGACCCAGCAAAGTAGAAATTATTTTTCTCATTTGTAGATGAAAACACAAGGTCTGAAACAGTAAATAGGTTTGAATCCAGAGCTGTGTGATTCCAAAAGTCATCTTTCTTCTTTTCCTTCTACTACAATCATTTCTTAGTGGGTCACAGAAAGATGCCTATGGCAGTAGGATGCGTTACTGAGGTCTCATGCATATGGTGGCACTCTGAATCTCTAAGCACTCAGCACTGGGTTGGAAGAGGGGAGGTTTGGGAGGGGAGTCAGAAAGTATTTTTAACCACTCCTTTGGGGTTTTGACTTCAAGTATGCTCCAGTCATAGGGATATTCCTGCTTTTTCCTCATACCCAGGGGAGACCTGCTGCCCTTTGTGGAGTCAGCATCTGCCTTCCCCACTATGGCTTAGTGCTGTAGAGGGACGTTGAGTGGTTTTGTAATCAGGTTTCGGTTTTGACGTGGTCCAGGGCACTTCTTCACACAAGTTTTAATCTGCTCTGATTATTATTGCAGGTACTTCCAGCTCTGGAGGGGCTCCGTCGGTAGAGCAGTAGCTCAGAGTCAAGGTGTAGTGTCCTCAGAATAAAAATGCATCTAAGAGTCTGCGAACCCGGAACACCATACAAGGGATGGCTCAACCGCAGGTAAGTATGTTAAAAATGCTCAAGATCCAATTTTTTTAAACTTTCACTTTCTAGGAAATAAATGGGGATAAGTACTAATCCTGTGATTTCTTTGTGTGCTACATTTAGAGTCTTCCTTTCATTCACAATTTGAAAAGCCAAGTAAAGAGAGAATAAAGTCAATTCTTAAGAGAGAGAAGAGGCTGGGTGGGGTTGCTCACTCCTATAATCCCAGCACTTTGGGAGGCTGAGGCGGGTGGGTTACCTGAGGTCAGGAGTTTGAAACCAGCCTGGTCAACATGGCGAAATCCCGTCTCTACTAAAAATACAAAAATTAGCTGAGTGTGGTGGTGTGTGCCTATAGTCTAGCTACTTGGGAAGCTGAGACAGGAGAACTGCTTGAACCTGAGAGGCGGAAGTTGCAGTGAGCCAAGACTGTGCCACTGCATTCCAGCCTGGGGGGAGACAGAGCAAGACTCCATCTCAAAAAAGAGGTCGAGGCAGGCAGATCATGAGGTCAGAAGTTTGAGACCAGCCTGGCCAACATGGTGAAACCCCCTCTACTAAAAATACAAAAATTAGCCAGGCATGGTGGTGGGCACCTGTAATCCCAGCTACTAGGAAGGCCAAGGCAGGAGAATGGCTTGAACTTGGGAGGTGAGGTTGCAGTGAGTCGAGATTGCGCCATTGCACTCCAGCCTGGGCAACAGGAGCAAACTCCATCTCAAAAAAAAAAAAAAAAAATAGAGAGAAGGTGGTTTAGTTGTTACTTAAGAGGGTTTAGTTGTTATTCTACCACTTCTTGGCTGAATGGCCTGGAGCAACTTAGAGTATATCTGAGTCATATATTTTCATCTCTAAATGGGGATAAAAATAATACCTTAAGTGTTGGCACACCATCAAATGAGGTAATCTCTTGAGGTGCTTTGTAGGTCTAACAGTGGTGGGTCTACAGATTCACAAATTTTAGTTAGCTTAGCCAGGCTCCATCATAACTTATGACAGCATGACTCTGTGACCTCTTGGCTGGTAACCAGGTGAGATATACCTTCTAAAGACCGAGCTGGAGACATATAGAGACATCACCAGGGTTGACTTACCAAAGATGTTCTTCACTCCCTGCTCTTTCACAAGATAATCCACATACTGACCAATTACTGAAAAGTTGATTTCTCTAGAAGATGTGGGGAAAAATGGGAAAAAATTGCATATTTAGTCTTTTTCAGATTATTCAACAAATCCTCAGGTATATAAACGGCTCCCTCTTGCTAATATTATTAAAAATCCACTCAATTTGTGAAATTCTTAGCCTGCTCTAAATAATGACTGGGCTTTTTACCCCCTGAATCTGGTGATTTCTCCACTCAGCCATGTATGCCTCACTTCTATGAGCAAAACACTATTAGTTATCAACAGAGTCTTTATATTTACACCTCATCACAAGTATTTAAAAACTAGTTATCTAATTATCTTTCTTTTTAGAGCCCATATGGCCATGTATCTTTTGCCCATTTTGGGGAAGAGTGGTGGTCAGGGACACGGTTAAATGAGAACTTAACATTTGCCATTTGATTCCAAGTGCTGGGATTACAAGTATGAGCCATCATGTCTGGCCTGTCCCTTCTTGTGTTTTCCCACCCTACTCTCAGGGTACCTAGGTCCATTTTCATTGCTGGAGGCCATTATCCATGATCAATTATTAGGAAGTCATTCAAGAGGATGTAAACATTCATTTCTTAAGCTTACAAGACAGGAAGATTCAATCTTAGTAAGAATTTTAGCCCTGAATATTTGTGACAGCACGTGAAATCTTAAACCCATCTGTATTTGCTGGTTTTATACTGAAGAAGGTTAACAGTTAGAAAGGAACTTCGTCATCACTTTGCCTCTCAAAGGCAGAACAGCAGCATCAGCATCTGGGGGACTTTGTTATACATGAAGTATCCCAAGCCCCACACAGTCCTGCTCAGTTAGAATCTGAATTTTAACAAGATCCCCATGTGACCTGCATGCCCTTGGCAATTTGAGGCATGTAACCTTGTAAGGATCTGATGCTTAAGGTTAAGGGCACTTTTCTTAAAATCATATTGATTTCAAAATCTAGAAACTGACTCACAAGCAAATTGTATTAGGCAATCTGTCCTCAATCAAAATGCAGGAGGGGAATGATGGGCAATGAAGAGTGAAATCCAAAGAAAAACGGTGCAGCAAGTCTGGGTTAAATGGTTACACCGTACCCATGGTTACACCGCCAAGAACACAGAGTGCTAGCTGGCTGCCACTACACTTTTGTCTGTGGGGCCAGAGAATCCTACTTTAAGTTTGGCCTTATTAACATTCTTTTCACCTTTACCTACTGTATTCCTTAAACAACAAAAATAAAACACACACAAAAAATCTGATGTATCTAGAAAACAAAGACATCAAATGGTATTCGTCAAAAGGAATAAGAACAAAAAGACATATGATAGAAAACAACTGACTCTGAGACTAAAAGGAAAGCTACTAAATGTGAAGACTGCACAGGCAATCATGCCTATAACAAGTTCAGAGAAAAGACAGCAGGCCTGAGCCTGCCAGTTGGGAAAAGGTATGTTAAGGCAATTATAAAGCCTGTAAGGGGAGCGAACTCCCTAATTATGGCACATGCCCCCATATGCTAACACTGCTCCCTCCTGGCCTCAGTCTGCACCTGGAACAGCCCAGGTGTTCAGCAAAGGCTGGGCAAAGGAGTGGTGATGTGGGAAGTGACAATGATGAGCTCTGCCTTTACAAGCCGCTTAGTACCACACATAATATTTTGAAATTTCTCTATTAATTGAATAAAGAAGATAGTATACATGAGTAAAATAGCAAAATATAATGAAGGTTATGACTGAGTCAAAAATTAAGCGTATGGGGGCTCAGAAGAGAGACTGATAAATGACAGCTAGGGAGGCTGGAAAGAAGACATCTAAGGGCTGGATCTGGATAAATAGGACAAAACCCTAAGATCCTCAAACATTTTTTTTTTTTTTTTTGAGACAAAGTCGCATTCTGTCTCCCAGGCTGAAGTGCAGTGGTGTAATCATGGCTCACTGCAGCCTTCACCTCCTGGGCTCAAGTGATTCTCTCGCCTCAGCCTCCAAAGTAGCTGGAACCACAGCTGCAGCTAACTTTAAATTTTTCGGTAGAGATGAAGTCTCACTATATTGCCTAGACTGGTCTCAAACTCCTGGGGTCAAGCGCTCCTTCTGCCTCAGCCTCCCAAAGTGTTGGGATTACAAGTGTGAGCCACCACATCCGACCCCTCCAACATTCTTGAGAGATACTGTTTGGCCCTATTCTAGTATCATCCTCTTTTTAGGGAGTTGGCTGTACCCTTAGGCAGGTCTAGGTCAGTATGTGAAACTGGAAGCTCCTTCTCTTTCCTCCATGAACTTTACAGTTTGTTGGCCTCAGTGGATAGTGCTTCCACCTACAGTCACCTCTTTCCCTCAGGCCTTGCTGGGAGACAGGCTATTCAGCTGACAATTTCACTCAGGGTTAGAGATCTAATGGGTTATGCATTATCTGTCCCTTCAAGAAAGGAGATGGCGGTTTGCTGCTGCTTATAAAATGCGCTAACCTACAAGAATCAAAGTAGCTGGAACCACAGGTGCAGCTAACTTTAAATTTTCAAAATTTTTAAATTTTTCATTTTACAAGAACGATACTAATGGCAGAATTTTGGGGGCAAAATTTTGGGGGCAGTGGCCATGACTCAGAAAATGTTCTTGAATTCAAGTCCTTTTGTAACTACCAGATCTCTTTAGCGAGATCTAGGTTGAAAAGGGGCTAACTCTAAATGTGTTTGACTCTGATAATATATTTTTTCCTTAAAGAGTATTTGAAGAGCCAGAAAAATCTAATGTCAGGGCTGATGGGTGTGGTGGCTCATGCCCGTAATCCCAGCACTTTGGGAAGCTGAGGTGGGTGAAACACTTGAGGTCAAGAGTTTGAGACTAGCCTGGCCAACATGGTGAAATCCTGTCTCTACTAAAAATGCAAAAATGAGCTGGGCATATTGGTGGGCACCTGTAGTCCCAGCCTGTAATAGGGAGGCTGAGGCAGGAAGATTGCTTGAAACCAGGAGGTAGAGGTTGCAGTGAGCCAAGATGGTACCACAGCTGGAAATGGGCAAGAGTAGCAGCAGGCCCCACTTCAGAGGACTGGCTGCCCCCAGGTCCCTCAGGCATTTCAGATCCCTGCCTGACTCTGCAGGTGCAAGCTTGCAGCCTTGGGCTGAGATGCTCAGCGGCTCCAAGCACAAATGGAGGTGAAATCATCCAGTGCTGTTACCACGTGTTACATAGGTGCCCAAAACATAGGGTGAGGGTGACAGTAATTCTCCTTGAGGACTTTGTCCATTTTATTTTAGTTTTTGAGACAAGGCCTTGGTCTGTCACCTAGGTTGGAGTATAGTGGCATAATCACGCTCACTGCAGCCTCAATTTCCCAGGCTCAAGTGATCCTCTGGCCTCTGCCTCCTCAGTAGCTAGGACTACAGCTGTGTGCCACAACACCCAGCTAATTTTTGTATTTTTTGTAGAGATGGGGTTTTGCCACGTTCCCCAGGCTGGTTTTGAACTCCTGGGCTCAAGCAATCTGCCTGCCTAGGACTCCCATAGTGCTCGAATGACAGGTGTGAGCCATCATACTTGGCCTGTCCCTTCACTTGTTTTCCCACCCTACTCTCTGGGTACCTAGGTCTATTTTCATCACCAGAGGCCATTATCCATGATCAATTACCAGAAGTCACTAGAGAGACTGGAAACAATGAGACTGGATACTTATTCTGCCTACCCACTGGGTATTCGGAGCTCAGTGCTCACAGAAGTGAGTTGAAACAAGTCAATCCACTTGAGTAGGTTGCACTGTACCTTCTCTTCTTTCATGAGCCCCAAGAACACATCTAACAACTGGGCACATCAGGGGAGAGTGACCCAGAACCAAATTCCATGCTTGCTCTAGTTGCTTTTATATTTAAACCCAGTTTAATGTCTTAATTTCAATTACTGGGGATTCAGATTATTTGCCTTGGGTTTAGATTCATGCCTTGGAGCCATGAATTTTTGCTGTTGTTGTTGAGACAGGGTCTTGCTATGTTGTCTAGGCTGGCCTCAAACTCCTGAATTCAAGTAATCCTCCCAAGTAGCTGGGACTACAGATGTGTGCCACTGTGCCCCATTAATTTTATTTAACTTTTTTTTTTAATTACAAAAGCTATATAGTTTAGTTTAGAAAGTACATACAATAAAAAAAGAAAACTCACTCAGGATATCTCTGGAGATGATTCTTCTTAGTTTGATATTTTTCTATTCACAAATATACATATTATTTTCTTATATAAATATGGCCATATTAGACACAGTTTCATATTTTTCACTCAGCATTCTAATTTTAACCTTTCCCCACATTTTTAGATGGTCCATTACTATACTGGCTAAACAGCATTCTATTTTATGGATAAATATAATTACTTTTTCTAATTGTCTGTTCTTGGACATTTAGTTTGCCCAAACTATACAAGCAGAAGAAAGTCTTCTGTTCTTTTTGCCACAAATTGAGGTCTAGAGTGGGTGGACTGTGAAACTGCAGGTAGACTCTACAACTCATCTAGAGTAGAAGGGTAACAGAATTTTTCTGAAGTGGCTTTTCAGAGAGAAATCCCTATTGTTGTTTGTTTCCTGTCCTGGTGCACAAAACACCACGGAAGACTTTCGCTTTAACTGAGAAGGCAGAATCCACAAGACAGGCAGTTTTCATGCCTCACATGATGTGGCATGCGTACTAGAAAATCTGATTTTCCATTTTCTTTTGC